GTATATGGGTAGCATCAAACAACACAGAGCCAATGCATTATGGTGAAATGATAATCAAATGGTTATCAGATGTCAATAGAAGGATTTGAGGAGCATAGGATATGGCCATATGCTTTGTGTGTACATATTTATGAATTATCTTGAAAAAAATGTTTAATTCATGCAGTGTATGCATTCTCTGGGATCAGTAGGGTGGTGATGTTGTCCTCTGCAGAGTAAAAGTCGGGGGAAAAGATATTATAGTAATTCATTTTTTTGGGGGCAACATTTGCCCCCTGTCTCCTAGAACAACATTTTACGAAATTCAGACATTCGGATACATCTGAATTTCCTATGTGTCTGGATGTGAACAAATCGGATTATGCATTTAACAAGAACTTGGATCCGTCCGAATTTCGTTCAAAACAAAACTAAATCAGACATGTGACTGTTCTCTGGCCAATCAGATATATTGTTGTCTGTTAAGGGTTGAATTACAGGCATGGTCATGTGACTTTGTGTTGTGGAACTTTCCGAAATGAAAATACAGACAGATATGGAATCCGGATAACAAATCACATTTCCAATACAAAAAACTAAATAAATAAGAATTTGAATTGATCCAAAACGAAACAATGTTTGTGTGGGGTAACATGTCTACTTTTTGGAATCCAAACTGCCAAAATAACACTGAAGTTCAGATTCAGCACGGGTCATTCAAACTGCTTATCCAAATTTTGGGATCAGCTCTACTTATCAACTGCATTTTAATAATGCCAGCTACTTTGATAGTAATAGGATAGTTATAGGATATGAAACCAATGTTGTACATCACACACCCTATATTATCTGTCCCTCCTTGCATAACTCTGTGAATGGCTAGCATGCCTGAACAGCCCTAGTTAGCAATGGTTGGAAAACAAATCATACAATCAAGTACTATAACTATATGTGCACTATTTAGTGACAGGAATATAAATTCTAAAAATAAACACTGCACATCACACCTAAACCAAGTACTATTTAGTCTTGCTAAATAATTAAAAGTGATTAGTAAAATGGACAAAGTTTTATTTAATGGATGTTTGACAAGCCCAGCGGGAGGTTTGCATCTTGCTATTGATTCTGCCCTTTTTCAAGACTAATATGCAAGCTTTGAGTACAGTACAAGCTACTACTTCAAAAGTGACATTGTTTGTTTAAAACCAGCAGCTCTGGGATCTATCATTTCGTGATGGGAGCCTTACTGTCGTTAAATGACAGATCCACACTGTTTATTTTTTTCCAATAAAGGACTCTTTCATGGTGTAAGTAATTTTATGTACTTTTTCACTTTTTAAGGGACTTTGTAACAACAGGTACTATGTGCTCCATACTCATTTACCTAGGGGGGAGCGGATATCTTGAGCCCCCTTTTTTCTAAAGGTTCTTCCAAATTCCAATAAATCCCTCTCCACAAACCCCTACATGCATTGTGGTGATAAGGCCCTTGTTCCCTCGATATGTATACATGTACATGATACTCAGGCTGCATGTCTGGACAAGGGTCCTCTACTCCCATTTATTCTTGAAGGGCTAGTACCATTTAAAAAACAACATTAAAAACAACATCCATTAAAATTCATAAAACATCCTTATCCAGGCATGCAGTGGCAGAGTGTGCGGGGCAGCAAACTTGTCCCCCTCTTCCTGATTTATACCAGGCCACATGCCTTCAACATTGGATGGGAGTGGCAAAGCATTCCCCTCCTTCAAGACACCTTGTTCCCAATGTTGAAGAAACAAGGGCCCGATCCCTTTATCGTAACAAAAGGCATGTGGGGGTGTGCAGGGTCAACTTATCAGTGTCTGAATCCAGACCCCCCAGATGAATGTGTAATTCATCCCATTGTTACTCATTTACAACAAAAAAAAAGAGAAAGGAAAAAAAAAACCCACCCACAACATGATGAAAAAAGACCTTTATTAGAAGAAAAAACGTTCCCTGATGCAAATCCAACTTTAATCCAGAGATGTAGATCTATGTCAGTCACAATGAGCCCCCTGCCCTATGATGTGATGTTCACCTGCGCTAATGACAGATCCCTGGTCTGCTTCTGTATGTAAGCAAATAGGCTTGGGATCCTGGGTGATGCTGTGGAAAGTTTTAACAGGGTTTTAAGTTTTAATACATCCTAAGAGATGCCTGTGAAGATGGAAAATGCAATAGGTGGTTGCAACCAACTCTAATATATTATTATTAATGTATATGCTCATATCAATGACAATACATTACAGCACTGATATATATATAGATATATATATATAGATATATATATCTATATATATATAGATATATATACCTATATATAGATATATATATCTATATATATATGCATGCTGCAATGTATTGTCATAGATATGACCATGTAAATAACATTTGTATAAAGCTGTATGGCATGTTAAAATACTACATTAGAGAAGGCAGTTCCTCTGCTGTATTTTAGTTACACATGTTTTCGTGATCTGGCAAGGAATCTGCCACAGGGAAATGCTTAGTGGTATCATCTGAGTATCTCTATTGCCATGTAGCTGGGTGAGTGTTGTGAAAGAAGGAAAAAGACATTCAGAAAGAACTATTGTTTACTATTGATTTGTAAATTAAACACAGATAGTAAGCTATGTCCAAGAGACAGACCGCTAAAGGTGCCCTTACACTTTACAACCCTCGCAAGACGTTTGTCTTGCGAGGGTTGTAAAGTACTTAAAAAAACGTACAATCTGCCCATCTTGGACAGGCAGATCGTACTTGCGATCATCGCTTCCCATGACTGCAAACGGGCAGTGTGCGCGTGCGCACACCGGCCCGTTCGGCAGTTGTCGAACAAGCAGGCCACTAACTCGCCGAGAATCGTACGATTCCCGGCGGGTTTTCCAGCCTGCTTGTTTGACGGAAGACGTGCGACCGTACAGTAGAAACGGTTGCACGCCTTCCATACACTGCACGATTCTCGTACGATCGCGGGATTTCCCACGATTCTGGTACGAGAATCGTGCAGTGTATGGGCACCTTAAGCATGCTTGTAACCATCCATACAAACACTCAGCTAAGTGCATGAGGAATCTAAAGCAAGCAAATTACATTCTACCTGCCAAGAAGGCCAATTAACTCTCTACATTGAAAACAGCACACAGACACAGAGTGGTATTATGTCTATACCTTGCTTAAAGTGCATTTCCACTTTTGCAGTCAGAATTGAGAAAAATACCCCATTTTATGTTTGTTATGTATTCCAATTTATACAGCATATCTAAAAATATATATATTTTTAAATATTTATTTTAGATAACTCTATTTTGCAGGCCTCCACAAGCTTCTCTCTAAATTTCAGCAAACTCAGTTTGCCCTAACATAAAGCCCTGGGACAGGCTGAGTTGCTCCCCTTCATTAACATAACATGTCCCCAGGGCTTTAAGCCTTTTGTTAAGACAGACAGACCTGCTCAACTAGTTTACAAGGGATAATGAAATCTGCCAGCACAGTGCAGACAGGGTTAATATTTTGCAAGAAACTCCCCCAACCACCACAGAGTGAGAACTAAGCAGGATGTTTCAATCCTGGAGTTAGCACAAAGAACATCCAAAACTATTTTTTTTAAGTTTATGCTATGTGATTGGGAACATGTAACACATATAAAGTGGATGTTATCCCAGTTTGACTGCAAAAGTGGAAATACATGTTAAAATCTTTACAGCACTTTAAAATGTTAGAATACATGATATTTTGTATTACTAAAAAACACTCCCATCATATCCGCCAATTTTCATAAACATATTTATGAAATGTACTTTCTTGCCACCAACAGAGTAGTAGTTAACTCTAACTATTAAGTTCAAGTATTTGAAGGCTTTTGAACTAATGTTTACTAAATATGTCTATCATTTAGTGAATGTAAGTGATCCAGATGTGTCTCTGTGCCCCCCAATTAATTATTTTGCACTTAGTTGTTTAGTATATTGTTTTTACTTTGTATTTAAAAAAACAATTCCTTAGCTAGTGTTTTAAATGTTTAAACATTTGATATAACTCATGCTGCACAAATATATCCAGTTTTTAAGGATAGTAATCCCAATATTAAATCCTAAATGCTTAATATTCAATATAAGCATCCTAGAGACTGATTTGGTGCAAGCAATCCCTCACAGAAAATTACAGTTATATGATGTATAAGTGAACCATTGGGTAGTGTACAATCTACCGAACTGGAATTTTAATGAACATGGCTATTTTATATTTTACATCTCACTGGGGTCACCATTCAAAATGCAATCAGTTCTACTGCACCCATTTGGACTTTTTAAAGACCTTAGTAGACCTTATCCATACATGTAGGAATTACAAATAGGAATGCACCGATATTTTCGGTATTGAGTAAGAGTACCAATATTTATCTTTCGGTTCTTACCAATACCGAATACCAAGCCCGGTACTTCCGTGAGCATGGATTCAGCTTCCCAGCCAATCGGGATTGAAGCCGACTTCCTGGCCAATCAGGAATCTGGGAGGTGGGTCATTACCCACAGCACAGCTTCCTGATTGGTAGGGAAGCTGGATCCATGCTGTTTGGCCAGCTCAATGCTGATTGACCAGGACACCATCTTCCCAGCAAATCAGTAAAGCCAGAAGGTGGGTCACTACCCACCACCCGGCTTCCTGATTGGTCGGGAAGCCAGTTCCAGGCTGTTTAGCTGGCTCAATGCTGAATGGCTGGGAAATACTCGGTATCTGCACCAATACTAGTATTGGTATTTGCGCATCTCTAATTAAAAACATATGCTTTAGGTTATTTCAGTGCAAAACTTTGAGATGAGTTGCAGAAAATGTCCATGTATACACTATGTTTTAATCCACTGGTTACCAAACCTTTTCCAAGGAAGTAATTCTGTCCTTATTATCTGTTGGTGCATTCTTAGCAGATCCTAGAAGTCCTGAAATAAAAATGTAGTTAGTTTAGCAGAACATGGTGGTTCAGTGCACCTACCTGTCATGTCTTGTTGATCGTCCACAATTAACTTTAAACTTTTTCCTCGTCGTATCACACGTACTGTGTGCCACTCATTATCATTGAGGTTATAACCAGCATAAAGTGTCTCTGGGCCCTTGCCTGCAGAATATGCCAAACAGTCATTAAATAATCACAATACAATTGAACAAGTGAACCTTTATAGGAACACAGAGAATCAAAATAATACAGACATGTTAATAGATCTCATAATGGTGAAACATAATGACCTGTACTTGAGCAGTTAAAAATTATCTCAGTTTTTTAACATAAATAGGCTCAGGAACTGTATTTCTTCAAAAATTGTTTAATAGGATAAAAACCTTTTAAAGTCCTCTCCTTTTCTACATACTTCAGCAATGCAAAAACATGTTAAAGGGGGTGTTAGCTTAGAAGATCAAATGCAGGTTTGAAGTAGGTCAAATGCAAGTAAATAGAATGTCAACTGCAGGTCAAATGCACATCTCAGCAAACTCTGAATGGCCTTACAAAAATCTCAAACTAATTGTAAATGCAAGTAGAATGCACCTGAACGTAAGCTGCATTGTCCCATAGATACAAGCCCCAAGCTCTTCAAAACAGGCTCTAAAAGAGCCATGGATAGCAGTAAAAAAACACAGTTCTAATGATTCCTCAATCTATCTACAATTAAAAAAAGAAAGTTTAGGCTGCAAATGCACTTTAAGTCGATTTGCCTAAATTAAATCTTTACTGAATGAAATGAAGTGGCTGTCGTTGTGGAGCTTGAACTAAGAATACTGTCTGTCTGTCATCAATGTTTACCGGTCACTGACCTAAAACAAACATGCAGAAAAGAAAGTCACAGTGAGTAAGAGTCAGAACTCTATTGTACTCTACATACTAGTTCCAGGTTTGTGCCCCAGAAAATATAAAAAAATATTGTGTAAGTATTACAATCCAGGCATTTATGGAAGAAAATGTCAGCAATGGTGGATTCCATATTGTCTCAGTACAGGTTTCCTTTAAAGTAGTATTAAGAGACGGGTGTTTTTTGCCTAATGCACTTTTCTAACATCGCAGCCCCCCCATATTTACCAGCAGTTGTTCGTCTCCTCCTCCGTGCCCGGGACGTTACTCAGGTTTCCCCAAACTTCCTGGTTGCAAGGGAGGGTACTGAGGGCAGAGAAGCCATAGGCTCCTTCTGCTGTCACTCAAGCTGTGACTGCAAGGGTGGGGGCATGGATGTCCGCACGCTGTGTGTGTGTCTATGGACGCATACAGCTAGGTGCAGGCACAGCCTTGACTGTGCATGTACAGGTGCCTTCACAGCAGTCGGCTAGCTGATGGAGGCACCCATACAGGGGGGGGGGGGTACCACTAGAGAATGAAAAAAGAAAATAAATTATAAATTAACTTTTTTTAGCAAGGTTGGCCCCCCATAAAGAAGAAAACGGAAAAAAGGGTTTAATGTCACTTTAATGAACTGGTGTGGTGAATAAATAGTGTATATGTGTAGTGGCATATGGTACCCAGCAATACATTAGTTATGTACAACGTGCAAACAGCCTAAAAGGAAATAATGATTATTTTTACATTTAAAATGATATCATATAAAACTCCTAAGTCTTACCTATACTCTGGGTAATCATTTTCTGTGCCCTTTAAACACGCTATTTGCACAACATTTTTGTACTTTGGATTCACAGTATTGCTGGGGCATTTGCTATAGGCTTTCACAAAGAACAAAATGTTTTAAAATGTTCCCCTATCTGCAACAACTTTTTTTAATAGATTCTTTTGTACAACAACTATCTTATTTTGTGTGTATTTTAACAGCTCGGAGCAGTGCAAAGACTGGCTAATGTACTATGCTAATTATGTTTTACATAATCTAAGTTGTAAGCATTAAAGCAAAAATGGATTTTAATTATTTTATATAAAGACAGCATAATTAGCCATTTTTGTTCTAAGTGATTAACATGAAAAGGGACTTCTTGATAGCCCGGAGAAATTCCTGCACTGTTCAGTCGTGCTTGACTCTTACAGTTTACATTCTGCAAGCTCTTTCTAAAACCCATTTTAAAGGGGTTTTCTACTTCACCTTGAGATATATCCAATTCTCCCTGAAGACTCTTAATGAGGGTGCCAATTCCTGCAGCATTCAGGCTTTTATGTATTTGTTTGCTCTAAATAGCACCCCCTCCCCATTCTGACCTGTTTATGTCATTCTTGGATGGTTTGTTGGCATTACGAGTGAGCCCAGCACATCAAGCACATTCTAATATTGTGAGAATTCTCCTTCTTCCACTGGCTAAAAAACTAATATTACTCTGCTCCAGGCTACCACTGCATCTAAAGGCAAGCCAATAAACCGCCTGGAGTTATCCTTTGTGCCACACCAACATTGCTACAACAATAAAGGGCACACATCGGCATTCTTGCATCAAACTATCATTGGATCCAGTTCCTGATGTGTTTCACCCATTTATTCATTGCTAGGTAATTGTGTGTGTATATATATATATATATATATATATATATATATATATATATATA